TCTTCAACTTAAGGATAACTTTTTTTCCCACTTTTAATTTATAAATTATATCGATGATTGCGGCAATAACAAGATTGTATCTCAGGAGAGAGAGTGGAAACTTGCCAGATTGGATGATTCACCGAATGAGGGGGGGGGGTTTAAATTTATGACCCATGAAATCTGCGAATTTTGAGGCTAAGCGCTCAAAAACGTCAAAATACATAATTGGCTAAATCATAATTGCCTAAACCTTGAAATGAAGGGTCACAATACTAGTGCTCATATGCTTGCGTCTCAAACGAACCTTCAGAGTGTTAAGGCTACTGGCTGCTACGAATGAATACATTCCTGTGATAAAAGTGGCTTCGTTATTTTCGAATGCTTCCTTATTGGTAATTTATTTGCCGCAAAATTGATTGTTTGGTGATGGGGAAAGGAACTAACATTGAATCAGAAATGAGTAACTGCAAATGTTCGCGTTATTGTACCATGCTTTCAATTTCATGCCATTTTTCTTGAAAATCACTTCTGCGTTATTATAATTATTGAAATTATTTATTAATTGATTTACGAATACATTTGACAGATTAAAATCCATCCCTTTATGTAGTGACTGAAAATGCGCTCAAATCATTCGTGCTTTTCAAGGTCAAATATTGCCTCAATTTTAGAATTAACCCTATCCTCCCAGCTTGCTTTCGGGCAAAGAGAAATTTTGTTCACAATTTAAAGGGGGGGGGGGAAGGGAGAAAGCTCTCCCTTGGCCAAAAGCCAATTTTCCACCAATTGATGAAACTCCTTAAAAATAGCTCTCCCCGATGACTCAGATAAAAATTAATCAATCTCGGTTTCACACCTAGAATTTACGATGTTGCAAACTTTGGCATTTAAAGGATACTTTATTTAATCATTTCACGATTTTCCCCTCATTTTAAACTTAATTATTTATTTGAAATTCAACGTCAATAGGAATAACGGATTTGTTGCTTTGGGAGCAACTTCTAACAATTGCAAATTTCAATTAATTAGTAAGTTACTTTCTAAGTTCAAGTCATTCATGCAGTTGAAAGTCAGATTTCCTGTACGCCTTTGACTGGGTTCGACTCTCTCCTCACCTCCAGCCTATTTCATGTCGCCTTGAATAGTTGTCTCTAATTTAAACACTCATTCGAAAATGGCGCAATTTCAACTGAAACAAATAAATCAATAAATATATAATTTCCTCAAAGTTGAGTGCTTGCTTTAACCGTTTTATCCGCTTTCGCCCCTATTATTTAATTTTTACGCACTCTTGTTACCACGGTTGATGGAATTTGAGCTACCATTGGGGGGGGGGCGGCCTATACTACTTAATTCCTGTTTTTTTACTACTTACAAAAATGTAGCACTGTTAGTGAGGGCACATTGAAAAAAAAGACTTGTTCCTACAGTATGTGCTCTTAAATGGTAGAAGATTTATTTATTTATTTCAAATGGCAGGCGTTTTAATAGTTGTCATTAGCCATTTAGCTGACTTCGGCTTCACAGAGGGAAGGTTCATCAAAGTAGCAGAAAGTCGAGGGGTGGGGAAGAGAAGAGCGATTCACAGATGTAAAAGAGGCAGACAGACACAAAGGCTCAGAAAGGGTAAGATGTGTACTGTGGAAGGGGTCGAATATGACAACCAGGGGGGTCGTGGTAGTTTGAAGTCAGAAGTCAAATGCCGGTTAATAGACTTTATTGCCGTATGATTATACGTTGCCCAGGGTGCACCACGTGGAGGTAAGTCTGTCGCACACCCCAAATGGTAGAAGATAAGAAATAAACAGTATTTTACCCCTCACCAAACAACTGTTTTCAATTCGTACACTCTCTTTAAACATGATTTGTCAGAAGACTAGTAACCAACAGAGCTAAAAGTTGTCAAGATCTTGTGGTTGAAGTAGGGAATTCTCAAAGAATGAGTCAATATTTTCTGTTATTTGTTTTTTGCATTTCTAACAAATCCTCCAGGATGAATCGTATGGCATTTATGATTGTAATGGATCTGCCGTTAGATTTAACGTCACCGGGTAAAAGATAGAAACTCTCACCTTCTGATGCCCTCTACTCGGTTTCGGGAATCAGCATTAATAAGAAAAATAGTAAATTATAGTAATTAGTGTTCATTCATTGATCTTGCAACTGCACCTGCATTTTTTTAAATTTATTTAGACAGTTTGATTAATGTTAATTATATTTCTTGCCTTCAGCTACCCGCCCACCACGTTATGTGATACGCTCAAAAGAAGACGCACAACTTAAGGTATTAATTTACTTCATTTAAACAAAATTTGAATGTCAATTGTAAGCGCATGTGGGGCACATTGTGTGCTTAACAGTGGAGGGATTTTTGCTGAAATAATGGCAACTTTCTTTAACTTTCTTTTATTTGTTTATATGGAGTGAATGTAGGGAAAAAAGCGCATTAAAAAAGTGAACTTTAGTCTATTTATTTATTATCGCCGGTCGTATTAAGTCATTCGATTTTAGGCCAAAATCGATCAAGGAGATAAACCAACTCGAGCAACTTTTCATTCCATTTCTGCTCCACAATCATTGCACAAAGTGTCGATGAAAAGCATGTCCCCTCAGTATACGAAAGTGCGTCTTCAGCGCAAAGGATATGACATTGAAATCAATCCAAAAGATGTAAATAGTTCTCTATATCTCTCTCTCCTCTTTGTAAACATTTTTGTACTGGATACAGATTAAAACTTATTCTGCTCTTTAGCAAAGGGGTTACCATTTGCGCAGTCAATCCTATTCACCTCTCTCTTTAACGACACTTACACAGTCTTCCACCACTCGAACTCCAAAGATTCAGATAGAGCCTCCATCATCTTCTCAATCTCAGAGCGTTCCAAATGTGGAACCGGGTCATCCAATGTTCGATGACCTCTCGTCCACGTTTGAAGAGAGTGATACCATGACACCGAACGATGGCAATGACAAAACAATAACCAGCCTCTCAATGTCAGTTAATACTTCAGAGAAGGTGATGAATTTGTTAGATGTACCAGATTTCAAAATTGAATCAGAAATCTCAACACCCAGAAGGAGTGCTTATGTAAATCCTGGTGATATTAGAGTCCATAAAAAGGTAATTCTGCTTTTGCGTTGCATTACATGAACTTATCGATTTGGCTACTAATTACTTTTCTATTTTAAGGCTCGGCTTTCAATTATAATTCCTTCAGAAGTAATGTCCGCTAGTAATAAGGAGTCTCTTCCCAAAAATCTACAAATATCAAGAGATAGTGTATCTGACGAACTCCCTAATAGTATGAGTAGTAGTAGCATACCCACTCCTGCTTTGAATGATGAGGATTTGTTTTCTGACCTTGGCTCCAGTGCCTGTGACGATCAACTAACTGATGTCTTCGATGAACTTGACTCGGATGGTCACAATTCGCCATGCCCTGAAAATATCGAAAAACTAATCCAAGCCTGTGCTCAAAACACAGTGGCCTTGGCACCATCTTGTCTCTCACCAATATCTGAGCGCAGTCTTCTTTCCCACAACTCAAATGAGGGGCAGGCTGATAATTGTACTTTGAATGTGTCTACTCCGATAAGTAGTCTTTCATCAAACTCCAGAAGGTCTACACCAGCAGGTGTAGGAATTGGAAGTGGTGTTCGTGATGAAGTGCCGGTGAATAGTTTAGTTAAGAAAAGTTCGCAGCATTCAAATACTCCAGCTTCCATGTCCGAAGAATTCCAGAAGAAATCGAACCATTCGAGGCCGAATTCTGGACACAGTCGTCCCACAACTTCCTTGAGCATAATTGACGCTAATTTAGACCATCCGTCTCCTACATCAAGTAGATGTAATTCCCGGCATTCAACACTGACACCAATATCTAATGTAGATCGGAATACTTCAAAACTCGCACCCCCAAATGTAGTCGATCTAATTGAGAATCCTTCGCCCTATAATTTCATTGAGTCACCACAAATCATTAGTCCCGTTCTAAACTCAAGATGTAGTACACCAGAGCCACTTGAAGAAGAAAACATTTCTTGCGATTCGCCAATTAGCGTTTTGACGGAGAGAAATTCAAGTCGTTCAATTCATTCCCTCGTGTCTGAGGCAAAACGGAAATTGGCATTTCATTCTAGAACGTAGGTTTTTTTCTCTATACCAAGTAATAATTATCGCGATAATCTTATTTTCAACTTTTAACACTTGGTGTTCTACTGCAGGTCAAACCACGAGTCGTCCAAGTCCACGTTGTATAAGATGACCAAATCGAGTGGTTCGAAAACACCGAGCCAATCGCATTGTTCCCTCGACGGTGATGAGAATAGAGGCTATTCCATACCTTCCCCTCAAGTACACATTAATTCATTTCATGGGGACAATAGAACGCTTTCAGAATCCCGATTTTCTCTCACATCGTCAATTGGAAGTAGAAGTAGGCCAATGCTACATTGAAGTGGTGATAAATTTATGTGAAAATACTGTATTACTGCGACATTTTATCCTTCCTTTATAAGGTCAAAAAATATGAAATGAAAAGCGTCATTCGGGGGTGAATACACAATCGCTTTTCTTCTACCCCCAAATTTATTTTAAAAATGATTCTCCAATTTCTTCAGATTCTCTCTCTCTCTCGTGTTTGGGAGAGAAAATGAGGGAAATTTTAAAAATGAAAAAGTATCGACTTTATATTCTTTTTCGTATTCTTTCATTCGCTTTCTAACCTAGGTGCTGATTCGATTATTGAAATATCAGGATCCAGTTTTTGGACTTTGGTTTTGTAGATTTGATGACGGAATTTGACTTAACAACTCCTATCAATGCTTTCAGAATAAAAAACAAACATGGAACTTCTTCTTGGGAGAAAAGGGTCTAGATAGGAAACTTGGTTTCAAATATGAGATCGAGTTCTGCCGCACTCTACAATAACTAGACTTACCTAGTGAGTGAGTACCGATATGGCGTTACCTTGGGACCTCTGACATGGCAAACGATCACGGGAACCACTGCGCCGCGGACGCTACGGGATCAAAACAGATAGATCTAAGTAGCGGTTACCGATGGTACTAGGTAAAATTGAGATCTCCAAGGCGTCCCATGACTGAAATACCTCGATTTTATTCCTCTTCAATTCCGATGAAATTTCAACTGGATGTGCTATGATGAAATAGGTCGGCTACGGCAGTTTGGGAGAGTAAAGGTGTTGTCAGCGGTAATTATTGTTAAGTGCAATGAAATCCTTACCAGACAATCACTTTTGGGGGTGAGAGAGAGGAGGGGTGGATGAGTTCCGCTTCAAAACTACACACTTCAATAAATCGCACAAAGTGCTACTTTATAACAATAAGTAGAAATTTTAATTTTCTTTTGGCAACCATCACATAGCTCGAAACCGTGACTTATTTCTATTAACCCCTGGGTTCAAAAGAAAGTCGCATTTTGCAATAGCAGAAGGCAACTGAACTTGACTTACTTCATTTGATTTTTTGGATTCTGGTTGCATAATGGCTGCTTACTAGGTAATACGCTCTCCAAAATCGAGGATTCAATAGTAGGTCCCTGGATAAAAGTAAGTGCATTTCACGCTGCACTGTGCTAAAGAGACCTATTTTAGTCAAGAATGGTCGGTCTTGTCACCCTAACCCAAATCTAATGACGGAGAGAAGGTGAAATGATCTGACAAGGTTTTCAACAACGTACAGTACGTGGGCATCGTTCATTCGTCATATAGAATTCGATATAAGTCTTTGTAATCGTGGAAAGAACATTTATAGCAGTAAATTAATAGCTGTTCATTAGCCCTCTTCTTGCTTCCCAGTATCTCTGGCTTTCCGTCATTGTCTTTAGGGCTGGGCACCAAATCAGGTGGGTCTTCTCCATTTCCTCCTGTAGATTACATAGGGAGGCATGTGGGTTGAGTGTATACTCCCAATCAAACAAGGGGGTTGGCAACTGATGCGCTGTGGTTAATTAGTCTGAACTGGGAAATGACTTTGCGCAATAAAATTGGCTGTATAACCAAAGTAATGAAATTAATTGAACTGTCACTATGGCAGGGCGGTAGGTGGGGG